TGATTTGCTCTCAGTAAAGAGTTCTTAGAGCCCAAAATGATAAACTCAGTTTTATTTTCATTTATTTTAAGACCGTTGGAATCCATCCAGCCTTTCATGTCATGAATACAGGCTTCTAAAGTTCTCTTAGCATCGGCAATTGCATCTGAGGAAGGATGTACAGAAATGAAAAGCTGAATGTCATCAGCGTAACAATGATATTTTATATTATGCTTTCTAATTATTGTACTGATTGGCTCAAGGTAAACAGAAAACATTAACAGGCCACCAACAGACCCTTGTGGCACACCGTATGAAAGATAAGTTTTGTCAGATTGGGAGTTATTTACAGAGACATACTGGGTTCTTTTATGAATGTATGATGAAAACCACTGCAACGCAGTGCCTGTTACCCCAAGAGACTGTAGTCTCTTAACAAGTATTGTGTGGTCAATAGTGTCGAAAGCACTTGACATATCAAGTAGCACAAGAAAAGTAATGTTACCTTTATCCATTTCGGAGAGGACACAGTCCACAAGATTAGTTAGCAGAGTTTCCACACTATGGTGTGGGCGGTAGGCAGATTGAAAATTATCAATTAAATTATTTTCAATAAGATATGTGCGAAGACGTGAGAAAGCCACTCGTTCTGTGAGTTTGGACAGATACGACAAATTTGAGATAGGTCTATAGTTCTGAAGACACTCACTGTCCAAATTGGATTTTTTCAAGGTGGGGCGCACTGCTGCAATCTTCATACTGTCAGGAACTATCCCTGAACCAAGACTTGTGTTAATTATAGTTACAATTGATGGTATAATAGCAGGGAGACATTGTTTCAAAAGCAATGTTGGTATGGGGTCAAGTTCACTAGATTTAGAAGGTGAACTCATTATGATCGACTTAATCTCATTAGGTGTTGTTAGAGATAGCTTATCTAGTGTCTTCTCTGTAATCAAAGGAATTTCAAACCCTCCGATATTAGTAAGAGCTGATCTGACATTCTGAATTTTTTCCACAAAGAATTTGTTAAAATGATCTGCAAGATTCGCATAAGTAGGAAGGGGAGATTTCTTACTTCTATTAAGTAAAACGTTTGCAACTCTAAACAGCTGTCTTGTACTTGTGCAGCTTTCAACCAGCATAGAGTTATATGACGTTTTGGCAGCGCGAACACTTAACTGCACCAACTGACGCTGGTTCTGATATTTCACACGATCAGACTCAAGGCCCGATTTAAGCCATTTGCGCTCCAATTTCCTACGTTGGAGTTTTTTGTTTGCAATATCTTGACAGTACCACTTTGTGTTAGGACGAACTGTGACACATCTCTGTTTCACAGGAGCATACTCATCAAGGACAGTTCTTAATAGAGAATTATAACATTCAACAGATTCTGAAACATCACTATTTGAACAATTTCCAAGGAGAGATAGTTCTGTGATTTTTTCCATAAAAGATACAATATTTATGGACTTAATGTTCCGTGTGTGTATCACACTTTTTGCAGCAGGAGGTTTTGTTAAGTTCAACTTACAAATTATGGCAGAATGGTCGGAAAGACCATCCACCACCATTACATCTGTCACAGTATTTATATCTGACTGGCGAGTGATTAGCAAGTCCAGAGTGTGGCCATGTATGTGTGTTGGGACCTGAATATGTTGTTTAAGGTCATAGGCACTTAGAGTTTCGAGGAAGAGCCTGGTATTTGGCGAAACATTATTAACATGAATGTTGAAATCCCCAGCAATTAGCAAACTAGAATTCTTAAAAAGAAGGTAGTCTAAGAGACAAGAGAAATCATCTATGAATTGCTTGAGAGAGGATGAGGCACTTGGGGGCCTATAGATAACACACACAACCATAGATACAGAATTATGTACAATGCTGATTTCAGTCATTTCAAATGTACTAATATTAAGTGAGGAAGGAACAACTTTAACATCCAAGTTACTACGATAAAGGAGTGCAACTCCACCACCTCTTTTATGTAGTCTTGGTGTATGACAAAACCTGTAACCACCTGGATTTAGGGCTGCTATCACAGCATCATCATCTGGATGCAACCATGTCTCACATACACCAACAATGTCAAGGTCATTATCTATAACAAAGTCATTGAATACAGAGGTTTTATTACGAATCGAGCGGGTGTTAATCATACAAAAGGAGACACTCTGTTGTGGTTGATCAAGTTTATCCTTTGAACGGTGAGGCAGTGATGCCTTACATTCATTTCGGTGACAGTTTCTACGTTTGCCACCTCGATTTCCCCTGCGCGTTTTACGTATACAAGGTATAGAAGGTTGAAGCCCGCATGATGAGATAACATTTAAAACATCATGTGGTAATTCAGTTAACTTGTCTTTCCATTTCCGAAGCTCAGCTGTATTATACTTATATACATGTTGTGTGGACTTGAGTTCAGAGGAGGCATTAGTCACAGTAGGTGGTCTAGTAGCTGCAATGTTACGAAGCTGGAAGTACATGTAAGCAGTCTGACATACCTGTGAAATGTGCCTGTCCATTTTCATGGACCCAAGGTTACGGGCGCTTACCGTAGGAGAGGCAGACACATTGCCAACTTGGAGGTCCATGGAGCTGATCTCGTTCCTCATGTTTGATGGATAAATAATGAAGTATTCGGTCTTGTCATCATTGAGTTTAATGAAATTCTACACCATCCATTGATGGATATCTGCAAGGCACGAGGTCGTCCTTGCAGCTATGGCCTTTTAATCAGTTGTCACTCTTGGATCAAATGTCACATACAGCTGAGTGTCATCTGCGTAGAAGTGGACTTGTAGACCATGTTGACGGGTTACGTTCCCAAATGGGGAAGAGTACAACGTGAAGAGTATTGGTCCGAGGATGGAACCCTGTGGAACGCCGTAGGTCAAGGAAGCTTCATCCGACACAGTTCTATTGATGTTCACAGCCTGTCGTCTGCAGTGCAGATATGACCTGAACCATTCCAGGGCAGTGTCATCGACCTTGAAGTCCTGTTGCAGCCTCTGAAGAAGGATTTTGTGATCAATCGTATTGAATCATCGAATGCAGCAGATAAGTCCAAAAGAATTACCATAACCGCTTTCTTGTTGTCGACTGCCCTCAGGATGATAGATATTTACAGAAGAGCAGTCTCCGCGCTGTGGAGCCTCTTGTACACAGACTGCGTGGTCTCATGGAGGTCATAGTCCTGAAGGTGTGATGTCAGTCTGTTGGCGACTACTTTCTTGAGGACTTTGGCGAGGAAAGGCAGGTTAGCGAAAGGCTGATAACTGTGCATCTCATCACGATCTAGGGATGACATCTTCAGAACAGGAGTAACATGAGCAAGTTTCAATTCTTCCGGAAACTTCCCTTCCTGTAGAGAAGCATTGACTATCTTTGAGATAAGCATGGCCATCGAGTCATCATTTTCCTTCACAACTGAGGTAGGAATCGGATCCAGGGAGCATGACTTTATGCAAAACGTATCTCAAAATCTATCTACATGTATGCTTACACTTTAAATATTGCTCGCATTGATCTGTGTCAGGACTCCTTTTGAACAGTTTAATGATATATCTGAATGGTTGGAATCTTATGAATCATTAAAGTATTTACTTTACAAGGATGGAGCCTGATTGCTTGGAGATCGGTAGAGATGAACCTTTTTAAATTCCTTTTCTTAATTATTTATTAATTGCATATTGCCCAGGCCTGTATTTGACATTCATAAAAATACTTGTCAATCATTTCATCCCTATTTTCACGAAGTGACGGTAGTGAATAAAAATCACATACAATTTGCTTGCGGATTTTCCTCACTACCGTCACTTTGTGAAAATAGGAACAATTTGACTAAACAAGGAAATGGGGTAACATAAACTTGTTATGTACATGAATCGCTGTACTAATAAATGTAAGTGCAGACCACCTTTGTTGTTATTTTGTATGCCTTCGCCCACCGGAGGCATTATGTTTTCTTGTTAACGCGATATCTCAAGAACAGCTTGAGGTATGAACTTCGTACTTAGTGACAGTATGTACATGTATCACAGTAGAAAAACGAGCTGATTAGATTGTGGGATATATAGGTCACTGGTCAAAGTTCACCGGGGTCAATCTCTGAAATTACACGGATTAGCCTTGATTTTTGCAATATCTCAAGATCTACTGGAGGTGTGAACTTCAAACTTGGTGACAATATGTATCACCATAGGAAGACGATATGATTAGTTTTTGAAGTACGTAGGTCAAAGGTCAAAGATCATAGTCGTTGGTTGACATGTAATTATAGGCTTTTTGTTTTCGTCATGATATTTCAAGAACAATTCCATCCATTTCTGATATTACTGATATTAGGGCGGAGGCATATAGGAGATGCAGTCGCATTTTGATTTGTTTGAAGATTTTGAAGTCAAGCTCCTTTAAAGCCCCACTGCACTACTTGTAGCTACTTGCTCCCTCTATATACATGTAGCAAACAATGCCTAAGTGGTGGCTGTTGGTCCCCCATGATCCCTTTTTCTTATGTTAATTGAGAGCTGAGTTGATGAGATAACCACCTGTCAGTGACCACGCTGGGAGCTCTAATCCCTCCTGGCCAAACTAGTGCAGACGGGCTTCAATGTAACTAAATATTCACATTAAAACCATGCATGCTGACCATCAGTTGTTATTGCCCCAAATTAGCAAGAATTTAATTACCAGTAAAATGACACTAGTAAATCATAGCAAAAGAAAGAAAGAAATATGCCTTTGCAACTTTCAGAAATCTATGGACTTTTAATGTTACCTTCTTAGAGACAAACTTTATACAGTTAAACCTGTCTACAGCGACCCCCCAAGGAAAACAAAAAAGGTGGTCTTTGAAGACAGGTGGTCTTTGTAGACAGGTTCCTTTAGTACATGTTTCAATGAAACCATTTTCAAGGGAAACAAAAAATGTGGTCCTTGTAGACAGGTAATCACTAAAGCTGGTTTCACTGTATCATTGTAATTAAGGTTTCATCTCTTTGATTTCTCATCAGTCCCCAAGGCTTTGAGAGGAACCATTCCCACCACAAGCAGACGGAAAGCTCCCAAGAGGACAGCGGCTGATGGCAAGGGCGTGCAGAAGAGAGAGTCCAGGGTAGCCAAAATGAAGGTAGGAGAATCCCTATGGCAAAGGCTTCATGGTGATAGCACCGAAATTAACATTTGGTGTATCAACGCTCTCTGATATGAAGCGGTGCTTTAAAGCCACACTGTCCTACTTGTAGCTACTTGCTCCCTCTATATAGAAAACAATGCCTAATCGGTGACCATTGGTCCCCCATGGTCCCCTTTTTCTTATGTTAATTGAGAGCTGAGTTGATGAGATAACCACCTGTCCAGTGACCTTGCAGCATGGTCTAATCCCTCCTATAAACTATTACAGATAAGCTTTAATATGTCACCTTTTCAAAAAACATAAATCAGAACATCAAATTTTCACATACCAGTACTTAAAAAAATCACACAAAATTTGGTAAAGGTATGAATAATGTACTGGTAGTTGTAAACTGTATTTAAAGCTCTAAAAAGGGTTAAGACGTTTTGAAGTCTTGTTTACAAGTTTGAATTCTGGAGGGAACTTTGTGTACAGTGCAAAGGTATCAGATTCTTTGCACTTATTAAATGAGCGCTCATTTGCATCCAACTATCCTTCATGATGGTAACCAGTACATTTTGAAAATATTTCTTCAATTCATGTATGATTGTCATGGATATCTTGAATACCTATCTTTCTTTTTGTTAAAACTACATGTTTGCATTAAAGCATTGTTTTTCTTTCTACATGATGTCATTAATATTGACTTATTTATCCTTTTTTTTACAGAGGAAAACTGAAGAAGATCCCCTGCAGAGCTTCAAATACAAGGGAAAGAATTGATATATCAGCTCTGAATTTTATTAATACTGAACCCAGTTGGACTCTTATTTACTGAGCATTTAAAGGACTTTTTGTAGAACTACCAGGAGCATGATGAACCGTTATTTCACACCAATGCCATCTGTAGAATGTGCTTCAAAGAGAAGTTATCATGGATTAACCCGACTGAAGCATATAGACGAGCACTCGGATCAGCCTTGCAACTGGACACCGGGTTCTGTGATACCAGCTCCGTCGACAGTTTCTGCACAGTCAATATCCTGCATTATCTAAATGTGATGCCCTACAACCAGACACTTTACCTAACTGTAAATGTAAACCTAACACCAATCCCAATTGGAAACCTAACCCTATACAGTGCGTCCCAGAAAAAACGAAATCGAGAAGTATTGATGTTTTATCATAACTTAATCAAAACTATAATTAATGAATGATACATATTTGGAAAGCTTAGAGTCTCCTCTTTCAGTTGATGCTACTCATGTGATGCATATTTTACGCATGAGTGATTAATAGCAATTTGAAGGAAGGAAACCGAAAAGTAATTTGGCGAGCGGTATCTCCATACCAGTCAAAAAGCAGTGACAAATCTGCTGATAACCAATCAGAAGCTTATAACAAAAACTGTCATTTGTCACTGATTACAAGTTTTGTGAAACGCCCCCCTGGAATGAATTGTAGAAAAAATCGTCAAGCAAGACTTCAAGTTGTTGCATGTTGGTTGCTGACTTCAGGATACATGTGTTTTTATGTGATCCAGCAGCTCTGTTAAACACTGTACTCTGAAGAGACTTAAAGAGAAGTTGAGTTCTGGGAAGAGCTGAAAAACAATTTGTGAGCGTTATCATTGTATTATGCAAATGTGTAAGAACTTCAGATAAATAATGTTCCCTGAAAAGCACGGCTCTTCAAATGCCTTAATATTCTAAATATGGCATGTATAACATCATAAAATTCAGGACGGATTTTTATGCTACAATGTAGGTGTTTGTGTAGTGCCATATATATCTTTCTGTGTACACTGCTTGTAACTTTACCAAGACTGGGCCAAATTTCTTATCCTTTGATGATGCCAGAACCTTGCAGTACACACCAATACTTATATGCTAGATGATCAACCTTTTCTGATCAATTCCACAACGTTTCTTTCACAATGCAATCGCATGACCAGAACTTTATCTTTAAAATCAGGATTATCCCTTTTCAAAACTTGACATTACTGAACCTAATATCAGTGCCTGTAGTTGTATGAACAAAGAGTATCAGAGACGAAAATGGTGCGCAATGCTCAGATTGAATTGAATGCAAAGATCATGTGTTGGTACTCGATTTGCAGGGGTAGAGAGACTGAAATCAGTAGAACCTGCTTTTGTTTGTGGTATCATGTGATTATATGTGTTTGAATATATTCAAAGTGTCATTAAACAGCAGTAAAGTGCAACAATGTTTATGCGTAACATGTTCATCATGATGGCTTCGGTAACGGATGCAGTTATACCTTTCTCTTTTGTATCCAGAACGAAGTAGCTGCAAAAGAATGTTCTGTAAAAGGAGTTTGCATTTTGACAGACTATATTAACTCAATTTTGACCGATTTCAAACCTCAAAAGTATCATTATCAATAAACAGCTAATCTGGTGTATAAGTTGAGACATGTTGATTTTTAATTTTAATAATATTTATCAAAGGTATTTATCAAATGTATGATATCCCAGTGATAAAAAATTGTAAAACTATTGGGTCTTTTTGTGCTATTTAGTGTATGGTTTTATATGCAAGTTTCATGACTTCTGTTACATTTTGCTTGCAAAAAAAAACACCAATACCTTATTAGGATTTTATTTTCTATATGATTAATGATTCAAAATGACTTTGAAACAGTTTTCCATGAAATGCAGTGTCATTATAAGATCCCATGATTATCTTATTAATTCAATTAGTTCAATTATTAGTTCAATTACATTATCTGTCAGTCTGATTATTTGTCCTGAATGTCTCAGAAACTAACCAAACTCCATGTACCATGTAGCATTTCAAAAAATTTGCAACTGCTTTGAATCCACCCTATGGAGATTGAGCATCGTCCGATTCCAAGGGTGAGTAATGTATACAGGGTGGCCCGAAAACAAAATGAAGCAGCTGAGATCTATAATTTCAAAGACATCATGGACAAAACTGTTGTCATCATGAGACTTAAGATGATGAACGGTCAACCAGTTTGGAAAATTGAACTTCGTTCTCTCTTTGCATTCATAACCTGGTTCATCAGCCCTGATGACTCTTATCGCGATAGAATACGACTCTTAATTTCTCTATCTCTATCCACACCATGCCAAGTGGTCCTCCATAGGACAATACCCCAAATATACCGGTTCACCTCTTCCACAATCTTCTTCTTTTCTATCCCCTTTCAAACCCAACTGTCCTTTTCAGAACACTACCCACACAGTAAAACCACAAACTTTCAAATTTAAAATTGTTTTTGAAATTACTGGACAGATCTCAGCTGTTGTGTTCTTTTTTGGCCGCTTTGTATCGCGCTTTGATACATCAACTTGATAGAGTGAACAACAAAAAAGTACATGTTATCATTAATAAACTTGTCCAGTCAAAGAAAGAGCCCCAAAATTTGTGTATGTACTTCATTAAGAGAAATATTGTTGTGACTCAGTCTGATGGCTTGATGAATGTGTTTCCGATGTATAAATAAATTACCTTGGACATAAATATATTATTTTACTGCGTTTCTTTGATTCTGTTTTTCCCTTTGTGTTGTGATGTTTCTCTCCTATCAAGTTCATGCTAAATGCTTATTAAATGAGTATTCAAAAACATTTTTCCCCATTTTATTTAAAAGAAAACATGAATAGCAAGAAATCTGGCTTCGGCCAGTGATCGGGGCACTTTAGAAACTTTGGGTGGAATTCTGAAAACGATGTTATGTATATATTAGTAAAACGATGTTAATTGTCATAAGAAATCAAAATTAAGACAAGCCATTGCTTAATGTCTCCGCGAAGCTGGTTGCGTTCGTGTAAAGTTAAAGGAGACATCTGCGCAAGCACCGAAGCTAAGTGTTAGTTCCATGTGATTTGACAATGTTATGACAAATTGCATCATTTTCCTTAACAAAGAAGTTAAAATCGTTTTCAGAGTAATGTTTCAAGTTATTGCGCAATATCCTAGCTCTTAATACTGTGAACGTTTCAAGTTATTGCGCAATATCCCAGGTCTTACTGTGAACGTTTCAAGTTATTGCGCAATATCCCAGGTCTTACCGTCAACGTTTCAAGTTATTGCGCAATATCCTAGGTCCTCCTGTCAACGTTACAAGCTATTGCACAATATCCTAGGTCTTACTGTCAACGTTACAAGCTATTGCGCAATATCCTAGGTCTTACTGCGAACGTTACAAGCTATTGCGCAATATTGCGCAATATAGCCAATCTTTGATTTTTACACCATGGAATGTTCAATTTTCAATCCTGGGTAAACACCTTAATTAGAGAAACTGATGTAGAGGTTCAAATGCTCAATAACCCGGCTTCGAATGGTGCATTTCAGTCTTGATACATCCACTATTTCCTTTACAGGTGAAAAGCATCCCCCTAATATTCAAAATGAAGTCTCCCAAATTCAATTCAACAATTTATCCATCGGTAAAGTTACCCAACTTAAAATGGAACATTCCAATTTTGACACAGCGCTTCTCTTATTCACAGGTGAAAGGAAGTCCCCTTTCAAAATGAAGTTTTCCAATTCTATTCATAAATTCATCCTTGGTGAAGTTACTCATCTTCAAATGGAACATTCCAACCTTCACACAACTATTTTTTACAGGTGAAAAGCATTCCTATTATTCAAAATGAAGTCTCCCAATTCATTTCAACAATTTATCCATTGGTAAAGTTACCCATATTCAAATGGAACATTCCAAACTTGACTGTGCCATTTATGTATGAGTGAAAGACATTACCCTGTTTGAAAGCAAGTCCCTCAATTCATTGCAAAGTGCATATTTTATACAGGCCATACACCATATTTGCAGTGTATTACAGTTGTATATGGAACATTCAACTGTTGATTACCGTACCCCTGTTCAATCGTGGTATATTCCACTCTCAATAGATCTGTCAATGTGGCTCAGAAAGATTTAAATAGTGGAATGTACCATTACAGAAGTAGGGGTCATGGAAAGATTCTCATGGATGCTGTATGGGCCTAAGCTATTCTACATTATGGTCAAAATCCTACCTGGATTATGAATTTGTTCTAAACTACACACACACACACACACACACACATACAAATGTTTACGGTACATGTCTTTATATAGACTGTTTTGAGCCTGCACAAGTTAATTTAGTGATAAAGTCCATGCATATATATGAGTTACTAGTAGTAGTAACACCCCTTTGGCTTAACACAGATGATAATGATATGGATTGATGATTTCATCAACTCCAGATCACTCTCCCATTTTACATAACAAACAAAATTGTAAAATAAAGACACGTGCTGCAGCCTGTGAATTTTTTAAATTTCATATCTTTTATAACATATCTATTTATGCAGTGAACACTGGGACACTGAACTCCATGTATACAGTACAGCTGACATTGGATGGATATAACAGTGTGTCATTTGCAGAAGCAATCAACTTGGATTAGATATAATATTAATAATTCTACCTTACAAAAAAAGAACAATTGTCATAATATCCAGATCCTGTAAAAAAAAAAAGCACTTTAAAATAACTTCAAAAAAAAAAAAAAACGAGAGGTAAGAAAAGAGAAAATGAAAATGCTACAAGTATTTGATACAGTTACATATGGTAAGGCATTTTTTTTTAAATAAAGAAAGCACTGCTAAATGATGTTCAGTTTTTGGACAGAGCAATATGTTATAGTAAATCAAATGTGACGTATCTGTGAAAAGTCTGGGGACAGAAAGATATATATTTACGTATTGGACACAGCCAAATGTAAAGTAGAGCTCTAAATATGAGCAGGGTTTTTTTAAGTTACAAGAAAATCCAATTAAAGAGAATCTATTTGAATTTGCTTGAACCTTTGTTTAACAGTTCAGGGTACAGTCAAACCTGCTTTAGTTGACCACCTGTCTACAAGGACCACATATTTTGTTTCCCTTGAAAATGTTTTTTCATTGAGACATGTACTAAAGGAACCTGTCTACGAAGACCACTTTTTGTGTTTCCCTTGGGCGGTCGCTATAGACAGGTTTGACTGTAGTACAGATAATATTACCGTCATCCCACTCTCACAGCAATAAATCACTTTGATTTAAAAAACAAAATAATGGTGAGAACTTGACATTCTTCAAAGATTCCTGATTTTCTCAAGAATT